AATCACATTCACCTCCAATATTGACGCTCCTTCTGAAAATAGCAAAGTAAATCTCCATCGACTAGCACTTTCCTTCTAAAAAAATACAAAAAAAAAATCTAGTGATAAATACCAAAAAAAATGTTCTCATAGAAAACCGTTGCTTGCACTGACGTAACAAAATACATTCTTCGAGTTTTAATTTATGAGATATAATTTCTAAAGAATTTATTTCATAAGCATTAATAGTTGTTTGTAGAAAAGTAGTCCATACAAAAAAAAATCGAAATATATTCAAATACATATATTTTGTATATTAGAAAATCACTAATATGTCCTCACTAAACCTCGGAGATAATATTTCCTTTTAGAAAATAATCTTTTAATTATATTTCTTATATTTTTTGTTACATGATTGCAAGATTTCTTGTAGAACAATTCGTTCAACCAATCGAGGGGTAGTTTTAGATTATAATCGTTTGAGGTACAGTTAAAATGCATTTGTTTTTTTTCCTATTTAGGTAAAAGGTAAATTAAAGTTCAAACAATTTATTTTTGATCCCCGGGTTTGTATCCTTGACCCCTAGTATGGCAATACGTATTCATCACTATTCGACTAAAACAGACATACAGTTATGAAGACAATATAGAGTTCAAAATTTATTATCTAAATTTGCTTAAAAAAAACAAATACTACATTAAATTCCTACACGAAAATTATGTACAATTTTGCCATATTAAAATGTATAGATATAGCTTAAATATGGCTTAAATTTTTTTCGTTTCTAAAATACCATTTGGACAACATTCCCTTTCAGAAATGGGGCCACGCATATATATCTAAACAAAATTTATAGTCAAATTTGTTTACATATTATAAAAAAATATTTTAAAAAAAACATCTTAGTCAAACCAATCCATTCTTCGCTACACTCTGAATCTAAAGATTAATTTTATTTAAAATAAGATGTTCCTATTAATAATAATTGATTGTTTTTTTTTTCCTTTTTGAGAGGGCATGGGGCACTTTATTCCACCTAAAAGCTCCTCCCTCTTTTAATCGCCAGTATAATTGATATTTCGGTGAAAATAATTGGTTGAAATTTCAAAAACTTGGTTGCAAATAGTTACAAACCGGTTGAAAAATAATATACTATAATAATATACTAAATTTAAATAAAAATAAAAATATTTAAACCTAATAAATACAAAACTTAAAAATCAGCTTGCGGGATACGGTTATCTTATAAATTCTGAGAATTGACATACATTAAGTTACAATTAAAGAGCTATAACTTACAATTTATTTTAAATGATCTGGTTGTGGGAGGGTGAGCTGCCATTCAAAACCTTAGCGGTGACTTACAAATTCTTTACATTATTTACAAATTAATTTACGTTTACTAAAAATTGAATGGGCTAAACTTACATTGAATGGATCGATTTGGCCGTGGTTAGAAGGCCAACTTCACAGAAGCTGAGATTGCTTGTAACGTGGCTCGACATTTGTGTTATTTTATTCCCTTACTACAATTATTATTCACCATTGTGACAGTTGACTTGGATTGTATCCATCGCTCTAATGGCGTTATTCGAATCAGATCATTGACAAAAATGATTTGACCCTGCGTGTGCTTGGTTTTCACATGATTACAATCGTGTTTTCTATGAAGACAAATCTTATTAACACTTTATTAACCTAAAGATTTACCTAACGAATTTGTTTTTACATTCAATTTTGTACTTAAAAAATAATATTACTCTATATTCGATCCACTAAGTATAATATACTTATATATGGTAGAAGAGAAAAAAAATGTTTTATGAAATTACTTCTGTGTTTATAGAATCAATAGTGTATTATTATTTAGTACATGGTTCAATAAATAAATGCAATTACCCTGGGTTTGTTACACATTTGCACGTAGTTAGGTCCAGATTGTTGGCCCCGGGTTTCCTGCAAAAAAAAACAAAAATAAATTTCATTGTTTATTTGGGTAATATGAATTGGGCCACAGTCGAGCAGGAAGTAAATAATAATATATAGTATAGTAAATTGCATTCGACACTTATTGATTTCCGTTATGAGCATAGTAATTTACACCTAGTGTTTATTTCAGAAGATGACTGATCAAATTACCCCATCACGTCATAAAAATTGAAAGAAAAATCGGTACCACCCCCTGAAAATGTCTGACATTAGTAGGTAAACTACATATAATATGACAAAATGTGAAATTAATTATGTTTTGATTATGAGTCATTTTGATCACAATAAATTTAAAAAAATATTTTTTTATATAAATAACCGTATTTTAATCAGTTACAAAAAAAAATCATCGTTGAGCGCATCTTCGTAAAATTTTCCCAGGTGTATGCCTAAATCTGCCTTTGGCACACCTTATTAAAAATGTATGATACCCCTCCCCCCTGGAAATTGAGGTCTGAAATAAACACCATTTACAACCATTTACACTCGTGTCTAATGGCATTTCTCACCTACATAAAAAAAAACGTTTATCTGATTTTTAAACTGAATTTATGGCTGATAACCGACTACGATTGGTCGATTATCTTATAATTTATGTTTAAATATCAACCGTTTACGTTGATGAGAACTGGCCTAAGTGGCATTAGTGGCTTCGTCATCAATATGTAAGCACTGCATTGTAGTAGGGTACCTATAATAAAAATCGTTTCATCGTGTTGCCCTATGCATGTAATGGCTAAATGGTTAAATACCCCATGCACAACCTAACTATACACATACTCGTATTTTTAACGATATGAAATAATCGGAAAATTTAGGAAAGAAAACGGTTATTTTTCCTAAAGCCCCCAAAAAATATTGAAAAATTAACTAATTTAAAACAATCTTATTTCTGAAAGAAAAAATTATTAAATTGACGTCAAAGGACCTTTTTTTATCTTACTTATCTTACCATCTCAATTATTTTTCATTTATTATTTATTGCATATAATATGTACCTGTCCTTTTTTTTTGAATCTAAGTAATAATGGACAAATAAAAAAAAGGCCATAATATAAACAAAAACAGCCAGAGGAAATTGTCTTAAGAGTAAGAATACATAATAATAATAATAATAATACGAAAAGTAATAATATTTAAACTAAATTTTTTCATCTGACTACTTCTTTTATTTGGTCTTGTTTTTCTCCAGCCATTTTTTATTTGGATATCATTACCGAATATCAGTTTTTTCGTATAATAAAATATAAAACCGTTTTTTTTTTTTACACGTCAGCTTGTATAATAATAATAATTAATCTAATATATATGTTGTATGTATTATTTTAGAATGTATTTAAAGGCTAAGAGGATATTTATTCAACAAACTTTCAAATACAATATTCTATCTACCAACTTAGTTCATCAGTGGTTAAAGTGGGAAAAACTACGAGAGGGGCGTATATTTACCGAAAATTGAGGAGCATTCATGACCCAATAAAACTTCCAGCAAACTATGCATGCTCAGTAAAAATAAAATAAAATCGAATATTATGTATAGTCGAATAAGTAATAAAGAATTTTTTTTTAATAGAACTAATTTGAATATTTAAAATTTCATTAAAAACACTTCTGTGACAATAAACTTAAGCGTATATTAAATAAGAAAACTAAAAGAGAGAATCCGCGGTACGCTCGCTTTAACTACTAAAATTGATTAATCGTAGGTATATGAATACGACAATGTTAATACCGGATATTTTCTTTCCTGACCAAGTCCAATTGGTTGGTTATAAGGGGCGCTTTTGAGCATGGTCGTGGTGTGTAAACGCCCTTTGTTGGATGCTTCATAGGTGTGCTTGTCGTCCTCATCATGACTGGTTTCGCGCACGACAAACACGTAACATCCCTAAAACAGAAGATTATTATTCTAAGGTAATTTTTATTTTTTTTTTTTTTTTATTGGAAAACTTAAAAAACAATATTTTACCAATGTAAAACAACAGTGTTAGGTAACACGAAGTAGTGATGACTAGCTATTATTGTGTCTCACTGCCGATTGGACCATTTATGATTTCAGTCGAATTAGGTTTTAATTAGATTATAGGTTAAGTTAGGATTTCTTACTTAACGTAATGAACTATTCCCGCCGCTTCCGGATCCCTCAGAATGTGTTCTTTTATATCATTTTTTATTTTGAGTTGTGTTGCATGAATATTTTTTTTGAATTTTAAAAATTCATGTGAATCTAGTTTGTTTTCCACACATTCGTTTATAACCGATACGGACTGCTTTATCGTTGCATTCTTTTAAACAAAAATATAAAAAACAAAACCATCATAATATTGTACTTAGTTAATTGTACTTAATTAGTTTTGATAACCAGTACTTACGTGGAACGCTAAGAAATCGTGTATGATTTGGAATTTGTTCGTATAATCTTCAAAAAACGAATAGAAATTTTTAATCGTCATGAAGCCCTCTGATTCCTTCTTCTTCGATGATAGACCGAAGACACTTTGAAACTTTGTCGGTTTTGTTTTACATACTAATTTTTTTAAGATCGTTTGTTGTAATAACGAATTCTGTATCTGTTCAAAATACACAATAAAATTAATCTTTATACTCGAAACCTGAAGCGATAAAACAATCGAGCACTTACGTCGAAACTATACACTTCATCAGGTTGCACTTCTTCGATAATGATCTTATCATCCGAGGCAGTTTCAGAAAACAAGGTACTTGTAGATTCGGATTCACTGACCTGAAAGTTAGGAAATTATTAAAATTGTTTACACTGCATAAGTATACTTTCATCATAATGCTAACTTTGAACAACATGTTTATGTCGTGCTCCATCTTATTCATTCTGCTCAAAAGTTTTTCAATGTGTTTCATTAACACGATCGGTTCATAACTGTAATAATAATAAATATGGACGTTTTGTATTTTATTATACTTTAATATTGTCGGGCAATATTAAACTTCACGTGTATAATTATTTATTTCTGTAAAGCAAATACTTGTTAAGAATATATTTTTCCTTTGTCGGAAATGATCCTAGCTTGTTATTGATGTACGACAAAGACATTTCGCCGTCGTCAATTTCATTATCATCCTTTGGTAATGGAGACATTAATATACTACTTTTACGCATAGATCGGTCGTTGGAATCGATGTCTGTGACCTTACCCACATTAATACTTTCGCGAATTTTCGAAGAGATTACTTCGTCTATCAACAACACTTCTATAGTAAAAAAAAATAAAAATAAACAAATAAACAATAACTTCAAATCTGAAACTTCATATAAATGAATAAAACAAAATTAAATGTGTAGAGCCAAACGAACGGGAATAATATAATAATCGTTGATATTTGTATTCTGTGACAATTTCATCAGGTCTCCATTGGCGTATTTAGAGGGGGGGCGACAGGTGACAATTGCCCCGGGCGTCAAATTATCCCTAAAAGAGGTGCCGTCGCTAGGGGTTAAATTGTTTTCAAAGTTAAGTGATACTAAAATAAAACAATTAATTCTTTAATATTTTATTTTAAAGGATTTATATTGAGATATTATATTATATGAAAAAAATAGTGATAACTGATATCATAAATTCTTTGTTATCAGAATAATTTATTGTTTTGCCCATTCTTACTTCTAAACACGTACTTTATTGGTACCTACCGGTTAAGATAATATAATTATAACATTCTATTTTCACAACACTACTAACTACAGTTAGATCATGATATTAACAATCATATTGATATTAGTGATAACCTTGATTTCATAATATTTATTCTGTATTTCTATGAATATTATCCATCTAAAAATATTTAATATTTGTGTGTGTCAAGTTTGTGTGTTAATCCGTAAATGCGACATTACAATTAGTCAATCAGTTATTTGTTACTCTGTTGTTGATGTGTATATACATCGTTAATAGAAAAGAAATTTAGGTTTGCATTTAATTAATTTTTTAATTGTGAGTGGAGCGAAGAAGCTTATAATTTTACTAAAATGTTTATTTTGTTTATCTGTGCGCAACTATTCTACTAAAAATCTTGCTCCGATTTTTAAGTGTAGCACATTTTCTGAAGCTAAATCGACATGGAGAGGTAATTTAAGGTCATTTTTCTTTTTACTCAGGATTTTTCTTATCAAAAGTGAAAAACCAAATATAAAGGAAGAAAGACGGGAAAATATACGAAATATATTAGTAAAATATTACGTTTTATTTTTTTTGTGTACTACTTTTCTTTTGGAAATTTTGCTTAATTTTATAATTATAGCACTTTTTCTAAAAGATCATAACCTGGGGAGGTACTTTAAAGAGATCATTTTTTTGTTTTCTCAGGATTTTTATCAACAAATGGGAAAAACGGGAAAATATATGAAATGTAGGTATTTGTTAATATTTAATTAATCATTGGGAGGTCACTGTGAGAAACTATGTCACCTTGCGTCTTGTAATTATGTTCATATTGTTAAATGGAAATAGAAATTGGGTGCCAAATTTGTTTACCTAGGGTGCCAAAATCGTCAATACGTCTCTGGGCCTTTTAATGGTCTGATACGATTATGTTTAACTGAATTAAACCCAACTGAAATAAATTGGATCTTAGTTTTCCCAATTATAAATTACAATTATTATGAACTTAAAATTGAAAAAAATTACTTTTTTAATGCACGAACTACTGACGACCGGCCAAACTACTACCTCTGAAGTCGATGATCGGAACAAGATTTTAAGTAGAAAAATTATTTACGAACATGAAAAAAATCACAAATCATATTCTAGTAAAAACAATACGATTAGGATCCAAAAATTACTACAGGGTTAACAAAAACTACTTCTTTTGCTTCGCTTAGAATTTAAAATAGAAAAAAAATGGTTAATACTTGGTTGACTTATTTCCGACGGAGATGGTTGTAAACGGACCGTTTTCGGCCCTTTGCTCAGAAGTGACACCACGGAACCCTGAATATCAAGAAAACCATGTAACAGATATAAAATATAATAACGTACAATACAATAAGGTATATTTAAGGTATATTTACTTTGGGCAAAATTGATTGAGAGTACATATTAGAACTATCATATTTTTCGTCTGGCTGTCTTTCCTTTGACAGTTTTTCCTGGACATGCTTTTCCTCTGTTTGTTTTTCCTCTGCAATTCAAATTCACGTGATTAATTATGATACTTTGTGATGTGGAAAAGTTAATTGAGTAAACTCTGTATCTTTGTACAGGGTCATAGAATTTGATTTGATTTTTTTTTTATTGGTTGTTATTATACTGAACTGTATGCATTTTCACTCATTTAACCTATTTTACTGTAATACTGTGATAGTATTAGATATGCGTATGCACGTATATGTTTATATACGCGATATGCGTATTTAACTTTTTTTTTCTTAAATGGTAACCTCCCCATTTCCAAACCCAAAATTAGTTTAGATACGGCAATTTAAAGTTATTTGACAGAGCTATTCAATAAAATATTTGATATTATGCCGATTTCAAACTATTTTTCACTAATATTTACCTACTAAAATGGTAATATAAACTTTAATAACTTGGGTTTTATTATTTTTTATCATGTATTGTATTGTATCGGGTACTTTAAACTTACTATTACTAATATAAATATTACTTAATGTCGTTATACTTAATAATATAGAGTAGCTTTAAATTTCCGTTGGTATATCAATTAATTTTGGACTTAAAACATTAAGTTGACCATTGAAATTCATGAAAAATATAGAAAAAAATACTAATAATAAACGGTTAATATGGAATTTTTGCATTTTAAGAAAAAAATGTTGTACCTCGCATGCAAATATCTAATAAGCAGTAAACAATGTAAAGTACGTGAAAATGTGTATGCTTACTATAAACAACCAACTAAACAAAAAAAAATTTAAATACATAGCTCTGTTAAGGATACAGAGTGTTTTCAATTAGCATTTCCACACAGTATATAGAGACGGTAAAATGCATTGAAGTGCACAGACCTCACTAACAAGGGCGTAGGGAAGGGAGAGAAGTGGCAGAAAATCTATTGCATTTTTAAACTACAAATTAAATACACTATAATTAAAACATGAAGCTAATGCGATTGACTTATAGTTATCAAAATCATATTTCGTAATTAGGTATCTGGTATAATAGTTTCGGAAGGTTCCATCATATGTATGTTACATTTATTAGATTAAAATTATTTTTAAAAAGGTGCTGTACTGGTGACGTGTGTGCCACTCTTGTAGATGGGATGTTGAGAAGATAAATTACATTAAGTTGTTTAATTTATATTCATACGCAACGATAATCAATTGCTAACGAAAAAAGATTCGTAGCGAAGTTTTGTTATGCATGGTTTGAAAGGCCGTATTATTTACGATTTTCGTCAAAATTTGATACCTAATAAAACTCTTATAAAAAAAAAAAAAAATACCACATCACACTCAATTATTTTATTATTTTTTTTCACTGAATATGATTTATAATGAACCTCCTGTTAAATTTTTAAGCATTTCTCTTTAGTCTAGCAATTGTATTCACAAAATTCTTACAGAATAAAAAAAATCACGTAAAAACTCGTAAAATTAAAATGCCTATAAATAGCTCAACAATTTTTTTACATATAGAAAAAATAAGTTTTTCGTCAAAATTTTATTTCTCTAGGAATATATTTAACTAAACTATAAAAAAAAAATAAAACGAAATTAAAGGATTTTTTGTTTTTGCCCAATTATTAAAAAAAACCTACGCAGACAACTAATTGACAGCTTTTATTCACTAATTAAATTAAAAATTAAAAATCTTGTCAATTTTTGAATGAAGCATGATTTTACAGATTTCTATAACAGAAAACATAAGTTACAAATATTTAAAGCCGTGTAATCATTATTCCATAAATATTTGTCCGTTTATCCCTACGTTTTTCCTACGTATTTTCCCAGTTTTTTTTCCAACCATTATGAAAACCACTTAATCAAAACATGACCTCCCTAAAGTACCAAACTAGTAAAATTTCCTTTCAGAAAATGTGCTACACTTGATACTTTAGATCAAGTTTTCTGGTAGGAAATTTTTAACCGATCCATTCCTCGCTAAGCTTCAAATCTAAAACATATTATTATATAAAATGTCGAACAATTTAAATTTTTGAAAACTAAATTAATTTGACAACAAATATGTAACCTCATTAAGGAATACCTTCGAAACTATAGTAGTTATAAAATACAATTTTAATACTCAAATCGCACATTTCGCTATATGCCACCCCGTGATTACGTAAGAGATACCCCCTTAAATAAGGGTTTAATTTTAAAAACAAGGCTCTAGGCTCTTGGCTCTAGGACCTTTGAAATTCATTATCCAATATTTGTTGATTTGTTATAGTATACAATTTTACAATTTTGGAGTAATCAGTTTCGGCCAGCTTCGATTTAGAGCCACTGTGGCACGGTGTTACAACGTTACTCAAGAGTGAAAACAAACAAATAGATTTTAAAATAGCATTATAGCTTACTTAGCATTCGTTCAAACTTGTCTACTTTGCCAGTAAGCGAATTCAATTTGACCGCGATGGCATGCATTGCTTGCCTAAAATTATAAAAATACAATTTTTATAGACCATTTATCTTTGATTTTACGATATCACAATAAACAATAATATTACCGAGTTTTTTCGGTGTGGGCGACCACAACAGTAGGAATTTCGCTTGCCTAAAAATAAAAAATAAATTTCTATTAAAATGGGCATTTGATTAATATATTCGTGTTAGATGTTATATTAATATGTACTTTTACGCTCGTAGTTGTTTTATATAAAGATTGTAAATTACATATATATGAGTAGTATAAAATAGAGAGTTCTAAATCAGGATCAAGAGCAAGGACGAAGTGCTATACCTAGTACATGGCCTCCCGAATTGCTCACCACTTTTCGCAGACCATATAGGACACGCCCACTCTCGACATTATTACCACACTGTTATCACGGTTATATCTGCTGTTATCACAAGTCATACCTTTTGTTATACCTTTATGGTTACTCTTATCAAGGTTATCATATCACGTTTATACCTACTGTTATCACAAGATGATGTTTCAATACATAGCATGTATTTCGTATACGATATATGTCTTCCCCGTCCGCGTGTGTCACACCATCTATTGTTATATTTTAACAAAATAATATTACTCGTACGCGATCTGTTACCTGTACGGTATATAATAGTCGTCACAACCCCCGTCGCCTCCTCATTCCTGTATAATACGAAATTATAATCGTATACCTACACGAAGTNACAAATGTATACGTATATAAATATGTAGTCAGCAGCGTACACACGGTGTGTTTGTTGCATGTAAGGACCTGTATGAGAAAATGTATTGCTCTCGGTTTTCCTGTTAGATCATGCACAAATTCTTTCACAAATCTACCCCGTCTATAATGTACATAAAGCCGATCCCTCCCTCCCCGAGAACGAAAAGACCGTACATCGACAGCAGTGCGCATTGTGTTTCTTATCTGTAAGATTCTGGACGATCCTGTATGAGTTGCGGTCTCTTAGCGCCCGCCCATATTTGCTTGCTTTTTATCTCGTTGGTGTTACTACTTTTAAGCGGACGACTAAATCATAATCCGTGCCGCGGTCGTAGACGCAAATCGTCGTTGTCCAGTGATCATAGCATTTTAATTTTTTTTTTTTACAAAGCGTTTATCAATTTGTACAAGTGTTAAAATGTATCATTTAAAAAGTACCAATACGTCGCACCGGTACCACCAGCGTGTCTTATCGACTGCAATAACTATATTCTTAGCATCACAGTACGTAAGTTTGTGGATATAGGTATCGACCCGACAGACACGTTCTCCGTTATAGTACAGATAATAACTCCGTCACGTTACGTCAACCTAACACCGGACGTTCTATTACAAATATTTTCACCGATGGACAAAATCCTATCAAACATACTCGACACGCCTAAATACAAGTTACATGTATTTCTGGAAACCGCGATAATCAAATTATCGCGTTGTGTGTACAAAAATGAAAACGTACTTGTAATAGAATCAAAGACCGCTACCGGCTGCCGTATCATATTAAATAGACAGGATTTATTCGCGCTCCAAAATTTGGAATGGTTCATTTTCGAGACGGTCGCACGGAAAACCTCCATAAGTCAACCATCAGTTTTAAAACAATTCTACCGGATTGTTCATTTTATAGAAGAAGAAATCACCAGAATGACAACACCACCCCCACCACCAGCAGATATGAACGGAATACAAATGTTCATAAAAAGTCTTCAAGATGAAAAAGACGTCTCCTCCTTTCCGAAACATGACGTAAATTATGTCAGTCGAATAAGGATGTATGCAACAACTCCATTAGCATAGTGCTGGATGAATATGCAGAGCTCGGGTAATCTTACGATTATACCACCGTCACCGAGCTATTCTCCGATGTCGCCAACTTATGGAAACGTGAAAACGTATAGCATTACAACCGGGTTCTATGTTTGGTATTGAATTATTCGTTTGCAAACTCAAAAGGCATAGTTGTGATGTTTTTTTAACTTCCAACGGAGGGAATATCACACACGATAATTCACTAGAATTTCCATTTAATGTTATGGTATGCATGTTAAAAATCGTATACACAAATGACCGCAGTTGTACGAGTTGAATTTCTGTTCCCTTTTATAATTGTGTTTAATATCGCATCCTTTTAGATATATTTGTAATTCGAGTGGAGATGGCAGATTCCCGAAACTGGCAAATTAATCGACTATTTTTCCAAACTTTTTATACGCTACCCAATGAGTGCCTTTACTATTTTCTCTACCGAGATTAATAACCGCACACTCTGTTTGTTTAGGAGCGAAAGGCAACCGGTCTCTAGAAAATACACTTCTGAAGTGTGGTATTTTCATCGCGTTTGCATATTTTATAATCTCGTAATCGTAAAGCGCTCTATCAGGTAACGTTGTAATTAGTTTTTTTTTTTTTTTTGCCGACTTTTTCGCTTCCCTTCCTTTATGAGGGTTAAGGTATAAACCCTCTCCTCGAATGTTCTTTTTATGCGGGGCGAGGAACAGCCCCTCTCCGTGAGTATTTTTATATGACCCGAGGAACAGCCCTTCTCCACCAGTAATTTTATACTTGCTGCCTTTATGCGGAGTGAGATACAATCCATTGCCCAAATGTGTCGGCTTAGTTCTGTTGAATTCACCGATCGCTTTCGCTACGCTAGCCGCACCGCCCGCTAGAGAACTTAATGCCGGTAGTCCGGCGAAAATCGGAATTAGCTGCAACATACCACCAGATTTTGGTATAGGTATAACACCCTGGGTGTTTTATTTTTTCCGCTTTTCTTAAATAACTTTCTCACTGCCGCAATACATTTTCTGGTTAACGTACAGACATTTTTATCGCAAACGTTTTTCTTCAACACTTTTTTAGCGGCTTTAACAGCATCTTTAAAACCACATCCGGCACCCAATTTCCGTTTCGCCCTCATACCTGAAGTCTCAACCCACGCCGCCGTCTTTTCCCTATAACCTACGTCCTTGGCTTTGAATCGCTCCCAAGCTCGATTTTCCAATATATAATCCGTTTTGTTCCGATCTGCTATAGAATGACTTTTATCGTATGCAATATCGTGTTAACTAGAGGCCGCGTCTAGAGGGTTTATGCCTTTATCACCTCGAGCTAAACGTTTTTTTCAAATTTGTGCCTGGACCGCAGAATTAATAACCCGGTAGATGGAGTTCAACTGGGAGTTTATTTATAAGCGTATTGATGAGACCACAGCCTTTAATCGTGGCCCGTCTTCGGACAGGAAACATTGTGTATTGTTTAAATTTTTCATATACCCGCTGTATTTATACAAAAATGAAATTCATCGAGCAACAAGTTAAACTAGCGGTTGAAAATGTAGATCTACCAACTGCTACTAATGGTGGCTCGAGACACGGTGTGCTTTTCCCGAACACAATACGCGCACTTATCGTAGGCCTCTCTGGTTGTGGTAAAACCTACCTGATACGGTGTGAGATTTCATAACCTATATATTTATTCAAAAAACACGAAAAAAAACGGACGACATAATCAAGTAGACGTGTTTTACTTGGCACAGTCATTTTCTCGCGTTCCGAAACAACTACTCAGGGACAATAATAATTTTATCATATTATTCAAACAAGACGAGACTAATTTAAAACACGTTTATATAGATCATTGTTCCGGTGATATGAAATATCAAGAGTTTAAAGATTTTTGTACCTCATATTGGGCTAAGGCGAAGTTTGATTTTATAGTAATTTGTAAAGAATGCGAGCGAGGTAACGAACAATATCGTCACGGGTTCGATACGTTTGTTGTTATATAAAGCAGTGGTTTAGATGGAAATATCTCATTTACTATGTAACCATGCCCCGAGATAGATTATTGTGCGAGCTTATAAAAGCAAAAGAAAATATAAAACGAAAATATTCTGCACTAAAACATAACGAAGCAAACTTTCAGTCAGAAGTAGAAAAAACGTTAAAACCGGTTATCGACCCATTAAACCAAATACAGCTACAAACACTTAATTAATCAAAAGACCCGAGCGAGGAGAACGGAGAACTAATACAAAACGATATTAAAGAAGAAGAAGAAGAAGGAAACGATACTCAAGAAAGTATAGACGCGAAAAAAAAATTATGAATCTTTACTAGAAAATTGGATTAGTTCACCCTATTTCGATAAAACGTACGGTCCAAAGAAAATTTATAATCAATTCATTTTAGGAAAAAATTAAATTAAATTCACTGGCGAGAAAGTAATAGTTGTAGATCCTAAACAAAATAGAATACCGGCTAACACTAGGTCTTTTACAATTAATTTTTTTAAAATCTCCGATTTCGTATACCCGACACGATCTAAACTCGTACAAGTCTATATTGTTACAAACGAGGGCACATTTAACGATCGATGAATCCAAGATTAAAAAAAGGCGGTAAGAATTTATAAATATTATTTCAAAATTATTTCCAACCGGTAGTGGACTACGGATGACATTACAGAAAAGTAATTTAGTCCACTGGAATTCTCCAAACGAGTAAGTCGATCGTCCGCCTAAAAGTAACACCAACGAGATAAAAAGCAAGCAAATATGGGCGGGCGCTAAGAGACCGCAACTCATACAGGATCGTCCAGGATCTTACAGATAAGAAACACAATGCGCACTGCTGTCGATGTACGGTCTTTTCGTTCTCGGGGAGGGAGGGATCGGCTATATGTACATTATAGACGGGGTAGATTTGTGAAAGAACTTGTGCATGATCTAACAGGAAAACCGAGAGCAATACATTTTCTCATACAGGTCCTTACATGCAACAAACACACCGTGTGTACGCTGCTGACTACATATTTATATACGTATACATTTGTTCGTAATAGATTCTCGGAACGATACGCATAACGTGGAGGGTCCGTTGTCGCCAACGATTATACTTCGTGTAGGTATACGATTATAATTTCGTATTATACAGGAATGAGGAGGCGACGGGGGTTGTGACGACTATTATATACCGTACAGGTAACAGATCGCGTACGAGTAATATTATTTTGTTAAAATATAACAATAGATGGTGTGACACACGCGGACGGGGAAGACATATATCGTATACGAAATACATGCTATGTATTGAAACATCATCTTGTGATAACAGTAGGTATAAACGTGATAAGATAACCTTGATAAGAGTAACCATAAAGGTATAACAATAAGTATGACTTGTGATAACAGCAGATATAACCGTGATAACAGTGTGGTAATAATGTCGGTGATAACAGCGTGGTAATTTTGTCGAGAGTGGGCGTGACCTAAATGGTCTGCGAAGTGGTGAACAATTCGGGCGGCCGTGTACTAGGTATGGCACGTCGTCCTTACTCCTGATCCTGATTTAGAACTCTCTACTTTATACTACTTAAATATATTTTTTTTTTTTTTTTTTGTCAAAATATATACACGATTACGCGGAATTATTTCTCCCAAAAATCTAAAATCGAATGTCATACTGAATTGGAAACATTCAAACCCGTTACACACAAAATATCAGAAGCCACACGTGCAGATAATATGTTTACAAAATGTCGGATGTACTTACCGTTTTTTCGATTTTTTTCAAAACTTTCAAGTTCAAAGTGCCCTCGTTATCGTTTGAATCAAATCCCGTTAAATCTATTTTGTCATCCTCCTGAAACATAATACTATAACTTTCCATCTTATTGTCGAATTTAGTTTTTAGCATTTCATCTGATTCTCCTTCTTCGGTTTGATACATTTTATCCAGTCTCACCGAAAACTCGCCCGTCAACGGTTTTTCGTCGGGATCCGGGCCGCCCGCCCATACTTGCTTTAGACAAATAATATGAATACATTACATTTATTCTTTACCTGCATATATTTTTTTTATTACGTAAAAACAAATCCTGTATAGTTATTACTTGGGCGCGCAGTGCGTCTTGACCGATAAAATTCATTTCGTATCTGTTCAGACCCGAATGGACTACAACTGCCTCTAACAGACGCTTCAAAAAATGAAAATTGAGATTTCCCTATAATAATAATATCATATAATAATATCGTATAGATGTATAGTATTAAATATAGAAATATAGACTCAGTGACGTCATTTGCCTCGCCTTATTGTGGACTACGAGCCGATACCCGCTGTCTAGATAAATTTAAAATAATTCTAAAATCAGGCCATCAGAGATGGGTGAAATCCTTCAAAATGTAGTACCTACATAAATACTCGATAAGATAATTCAAGATATTTGATACTTTATGGAACTGTATTGAAATACTACAAAGCATAAGATACAAAATTGTATTCTATTCAGAAAAGTCTATGTAGCTCGAAAACTAAATGACAAGCGCTATTAAAAAAAATATATATCTGTGGCTTAGTAAAAGAAGGCCAACGTTTTTTTTTTTAAAAAAAATAGGTAGAAATGAAAAAAGAAAGTATACTAATTCGTATTTTCTTAATAGAAATTGTCTAAGTTTTTGTAAATATGTAAACACAAAAATTCGCATTTAATAAAATACACAGAGCCTACTATGGAGAATTGAAATTTCAAAGCCAATTTCCCAACAATCACAAAATGTGACATTGGCCTTTCTTGCACCTAACCACAGATGTATATTTTTAATAAAAGAAGG